ATGGTGAGCGCATACCTTTTGATAAGAACATTGCATTAGGTTACTGACCTATTGGATGTCAACAGTCCCCAAGTAGCATATGTGAAACCCTTTGACACAAGCCGTTGTATCTGACAACTTGGGCTGAAAACTAGGGAATGATATGCAAGTAAACTCTTAGCTATTACAGTATGCATTGGTAACAATTCTAATTCTGCTAGTGCTTTGAAATTAATTTTGAAGGTGAAGTGAAGAAAATATTTCAACAGTTACACTTACTTAAAATGTATGGTTTGCCTTTTAGCAAGTCTCAGGAATAACAACTGTGTTTGGAATGAAGTAGTAAATAGTTGTAATGTCTTTTCACCTTCTGCATTAAGAATGAAATTAAAACTGTAATTTTTGTGAGTTGGATTTTTTTAAAATAGGGAGCGTGTGAAGAGGTAATTGCTGCTTAAAAAAATATGGTTTCTTAGTTTAATGTTTTTGAAATTCAATTTAAATTTGAGGTATTTTTAAGAAAACTTTGCCAAATGCCTCACCTGTGTCCCCCACCCCATTTTGTCTGCATGTCTGAAATTGTGAGCTTCATAAGTATCCAAATTTGTATCTCTTAACAGGAGTTGTCCCTCTGGCTACCTATATGCGCATCTACAAGAAGGGTGATATAGTTGATATCAAGGTAATTTCTACAGTGCTATGTAATTAAAAGCCAAAGCAGTGTAATCCTTTACAGCCTCCAGTTTCTTGAGGTAGTCTTGTTTTTGGTTTTTTTTTTTTTCAATTTCGGGTCATATGTGTCAACACAAGTACCCACTGCTCATGTTTGAAGCCATAATCAAATGATAGTGCTACTGAACCAATAGTAATGCTTCAGCATTAATATATAATATGTATAGGGATGGTATGTATAGGGATGCAAAGTCACATTAAAACTACAAACCAAGAAATGAATGTTAGGATATGTTGTAGATATTAATACAGGGGGAAAAAGTGAAGCAGCATTTCCCATTATGTGGTATTTTCTAGAACTTCCCTTTAAAATCAACTGTACTTTCAAAATTAAGTTTTAGTGAATATGAAAGCCTTTCACCAAGGATTCCTATTTTGTTTGAAATGCAGAGTTTTTGTAACAATAACACAGAAGATGGTGTGTAATTTGCTTGTTTGTTGTTTGCCTCTTTGGGAACTGCGCTGTTCAGAATTAACACTTCTTGACACACTGGAGCTTCATGATGATTGTCTCTCGTTGATTGCTTGCTGAAAGCAAAGTGATCAATCATTTCACCGACGCTGAAAGCAACCAGAATTGTCATAGCAAAATTTGGTAGTCTTCAGATATAAAATGCATGGTTATAAATTGTAACGTACAAATAAGGAGTATTTTTAAATCAATCTCAAGTAATTTGAAATGTGTACTTTGACTAACTTTTGAAAGTCCTTGATGTTGTTTTGGTTTTTTTTCCCTCAAGTTAAGTTTACACTTTATTCTTGTTTTACCTCTTAACAGGGTATGGGTACTGTTCAAAAAGGTATGCCCCACAAGTGTTACCATGGCAAGACTGGAAGGGTATATAATGTTACTCAGCACGCTGTGGGCATTATTGTTAACAAGCAGGTTAAGTAAGTAATGACATTCCATGTATTGAAGCTTTGTGTTTGGGAAAGTTGATCAGTAGTTGCACCCTCCTTTCACTTTGCCAGTCAGACAGTTATTGTCTTGATTGGTCATTCAAGGTGGGTAAAGTATGTATCCTTTTTATAACCCAAGCAAATGATTCTCATTTGACTTGGATCCTGTCAGAGGAAACAGTTTTTATTTTTCTGAGTAGCACTTCAAGTGACATTACCTTGATCTCTTCTCTGTGGTATTCAGTGACAGGATGCATGAGAATGGTTCAAAGCTGCACGGGGGGATATTTACACTGGACATAAGGAAGCGTTTCTATACTGAGAGGGTGGTCAAACACTGGAACAGGCTTCCTAGAGAGGTTGTCATTGCCCCAGGCCTGTTGGCGTTTCAGAGGCATTTGGACAATGCCCTTAATAACATGCTTTAACTGGCTGAATTGGTCAAGCGGTTGGACTGGGTGATTGTTGTGGCTCCTTTCCAACTGAAATAGTCTATTCTACCTAATGGGGTTTTTGAGCCCACTTTCATGTTGGTACTGAAGCCCCTTTTAAATATTAATTTGTAGCTAGTCAACTGGGTTTTGTACAGTTTACTCAGAAAAGGACAAGTTGGGATTTTTCCAGTAACTGGATTGGAGTATGGTGGTAATACAGTTCTTTCTTTGTACGCTAGAAGGTTAAAATTATGTGTTCTCCACAATCTTAATCCTAAATGGCCAGCATGTTGTTATATATTAATAAGCTTTCCGTTATATATGTTATGTCTGATTTGCATCTGCAGCCGTGTATTTTGAGTGATTGCCTTTTAAAGAAAAATTATCCGTAATTGAGCTTACAGAGTCACTCATGTAAAGATCATAAAACTAGCTTTGAAGTAGTCTTTTTTTCGAGTGCAGTAGAATAAAAACTTACTTCCTTTCTTAGGGGCAAGATTCTTGCCAAGAGAATTAATGTGCGTATTGAGCATATTAAACATTCCAAGAGCAGAGACAGCTTTCTGCAGCGTGTGAAGGAGAATGAAAGGAAGAAAAAAGAAGCAAAAGAAAAAGGCATCTGGGTTCCCCTGAAACGTCAGGTAGTATTTTTATTGTAGTTGACCCATTGTTGAGTCAGTTCACACAAAAAAAAAAAAACCCACCAGTTAGAACCAAATGAGTTGAGTAAAATGTTTTCTTCCAAAATAAGTGTTATGATGTAAACAGTTCTTTGTGTCTGTTGTTGAAAAACAAAACAAACAAACAAACAAAAAACCAATGCCACATGAATGAAGCTGCTTTACAGCATTCTGAAAAATGCAGGTCTCTGGCAGGCTGTGTTGGAGGTATCTGATGCCACCACCCTCACTTGGGTTCACAGTCTTTTTGTAGGATGTTACTTTTTTGTTTGTTTTTTTGTTTAGAGTGGCAGCATCAGTGTGTCTGCATCTGAGCTGTCTGGTATGTTTGGTGCCTGAACAGAACTGCACTGTTCCTGGATGGAAACTGTATCCTTGGCTGTGAGCAAGGGGACTGATGCTTCCTGTTCTGTTGCTGATCTGCAGCAGAAGCTCTGGCTAATTTCTAGGATGAGTGTTGTCTTTCGTTTAGTTGAGTTTAGCTGCAACAGTTCCTGTTGTAACCCTTTAAGAAAAGAATGAATAACTTGAATAACTAGACTTTAGGGAGGAAATGGTGGCTATTGCTTCTAGAACTGCAGGGTACATCACTTCATGTTAATTTGGTTTAGTAAGTTGCAGAGGGTTAAGTACCAGGTTTGTTTCATTCAGCACTGACAGTCAAGCACACTTTGTAGCAGATGATTTTTTACTTATATTCTTTGAATCAAATTTTGAAGAGAATTGGTATGGTAAAATTGCTATAATGTTTATATAATAATGCATTGAATGGTTGTCAAAATGAATTTTTTTTTGTAAGGTTGCTTTTGAGTTTTAGCGACATGAGTGTTTTTTTTTTTTTCCTGTTTACAGCCTGCTCCACCAAGAGAAGCGCACTTTGTGAGAACTAATGGCAAGGATCCAGAGCTGCTGGAGCCAATTCCCTATGAATTCATGGCATAATATGTTTTAAAAAATTAATTAATTAAAGATCTGGTTTTGGACAAGTGTATGTGATTGCGGTTGATTCCTTTAGTTTTTTGAAACAGACGCTTTAGAAAACTTTATTGGTTTTTTATTTATCTTACTTTACATAGTGGTTGGTCATTTAAATCATCTGCAGCTTTTGCTGATCAGTTTAGTCATTTATATAGATCATAAATTCTGGGAGCACTGAAATTTGGTAATGCTTAGTGATGATCGTGACGTAATGTGAGAGGAAATGGAATATTTCCCCAGCAAACTAAGAGTATATACCAAGAATTGTACGGTGTCATTTGAAGGTTTATTTTTTTGTGGAAAAAGAGATAATGGGCTTCACGTCTCATTAATCGAAGGTTTTGGCTAAGGGGCCTCAGATTAATAACAAGGAGTTGTGGAAACTGTTTTTGAAAGCAGCCTCTTGGGAAATGGCTGTGGGCATTTTGGTGTTTCACCATTGTAACCTGCAAAAGAAGGATTTTTAGAACATCCCTCCACCAATAAGCATTCCTAGAAAATAGTAGTAGTTGATAATGTTTTAATGCCAAAACTGCCAGCCTGTGTAATTTGATTTTTGTCATTTAAATTGGTTGGCATAGCTGAACACTTGCATTGCGTGTGTTTATTGCGTGTTTGTTGAATCTAAACATCTGCCTGTATGTTCTAATGCATTCCTCTGATCCAGTGATTTTATTGGTAATTCACAAAAACCCAAGTGCTACCTGCCCAGTGTTTCTTGAATAGAAGAACATCTTCAGCTGAGTACTTGCTAATGCTGTTTTGGTGAGCTTTGTTTGAAACAGAAACTGCTGAAGGTAACCTGCTTGGTTAGCTTTGAACATCCATAAACTCAAGCCTAAATGTGTTATGGATATTGGATAAATAACCTGCCTGTCTTCGTGTGATACAAGGCATTGCTTACCTACCTCAACTAAGTGATGTAAAACTGGTGTCTACATGTGGAGAGAGTAAAATACTAGAGAAGATCGTGACCTCAAACAATTTGCAGGTGTTGATTGTTGAAAATTATTGAATAGTCAGTTCTGGGACAGCTAGTAGGCTTGGGAGGAAGAAATGGAGAGGTTTGCTTTTTCTCTTATTTCTAAAGTGCCTTAAGCAGAAGTGTCAATCTGTGTACAGATTGCTTATAAATTAAAGGGGTTAATGCCCATTTGGATTTACCTCACATTCAATTGTGGGGGTTCCCATTCTCATGAAATGTAGTTTTTGGATGTTGAGGTCATTGTCTGGCTTGGTCTGGTGTCTAGGGGTGACAAGGCTTTTGGCACTGGCGGTTCAAAGTCGCAGTGAGCAGACACTGCGTTTGAAGGTCCCATCTCAGAAGATGGAGCAAGCTGTGTAGTTGAATGACTTTGGAAATGCCTTGAAGAAGATGGAGCAAAGCTTACCTAACAACAGACTGATTTGTGACACTAGTACTGTATTTTGACACCATATGTATTGGACACGGAGCGTACCAGCATCACCTGAAGCAAGGTTCATTAATCTTTAGGTTCATCATCATCAAGGTTCATCGTAACTTTTACTTGCAGCTTATGCACTTAGCTTTTATGATCACGTGGGGTTTTGTTGGAGCAGCTAGGTCTGTACACTAAGCCTTGGACCTTTATTAGCTTCTTTGGTTTGTAGATTTCCACACCAATTTAAAATCAGTATTTGCCTCACAAGATAAGCATCATTTTCCATTAGGGTTTGTGTCTGAAGGAGTCAAGTGGGAGGTTTCACTGGGTGCAATCTTTGGTGATGGTATTTTAAATCTTCTCATGCGTGCTTGTGTAAGTTATTTTGGTTATATTAGTGTTTGTTTTGTTCTTGTCTCTCAAGATTGAAGCGGATTGGCTGTAGCATCATGATGAAATGGTTAACAGTGTAAGTGGTTGGTAGTTCTAAACTTTCGATTTATTTTCAACAATTTGGAATAATAAGACTAGAGAGCATGCAGTGACCTCATTTAAGAGCTGCGTTTCAGAGGCACTCTGCATTGCAACAGTTTTCAGTTTATTTAGTCTCAGTGTTATTAAGGTCACTATGCTGACAGTAGATGCTCATAAATGTGTATTTGGAAGCTGTGTGTGGGCTGGGAGGAGAAGGAGGGAATGCTTTCCTTGGTCAGGATTCCCAGAAATGAAATAGGGTGTGTATGTGAAGAGAATAGCCTTTTTGGGCTTTTTAATGTTGGAAACCAGGACAAATTAACCAAGATTTAACTTGTCTTGGGTTGATAGCTGCTACCTGTTAGTTGCTTTCAGTGCAGTGGTGGTTTTCCTGGTAATCCCAGCTTTGCAGAAGCACAGCTCACATACTTACGGATCTCAGTATCTGCTGTTGAAGCTTGCTTCCCATGTGCTTAGCTGTCTTGTTTTTGCACAGTCCTGACAAAAGAGGGAGATCTGTGGATTGAGAAAAGTTGGTGAAGAACTGCCTGCCAGGATGTCTTCAGTCATGAAACCAGTGTCTAAATTGAAACGCATCCTTCTTGATAGAAGAGTTTTAGGTGTATGCAGAACTCGCAGAAGATTTGGAACGGGAGTGATTTCAGCACTTCAGCCTCTCCGCCCCTCTGGGCAGAGGAAGCATGAATCCTTACGGTGTTTGGAGTTGCAAGTTCCTCTCCGACTCGCTCCAGGAGGGGTTTTATGCACTAGACCATTAAGCTGTAGCCAGTTCTCCGCGATCCTGTGCCGAGGCTGTGCCTAGCAAGCAAAACCTTGCAGCAAGCATGCCAGCTACGGGCTACGTGTTTCCTCTCTCTTCATACCCTGACAGTTGAATTTTGTTCATTCCATGATGCTTTGAATTGTGGAGAAGTGTTGTGAAACCTGCAAAGCTATAGGTTTGCTATAATTAGCACACCTCGAGCTAGCAGAATTTAGGAATCCAGAATTTAAAAGTCGGGTTTGCAGAAGTTCAGTATTACATGTTACCTGCCTTCCAGTCTCCTTCTAGCACAGAGACTTCCTTGTCTCTGGTGGTGGAGGACAGGCTGTCCCTGTACGCCGTGCAGAGGGTGAAGGGCTTATGGATTAGCACAAGCCATTACACTTCAGTGTAGTGCTTTGTCTCCATTCCATGGAGCCTAATTATGGGGTGGGGGCTGAGCTGTCTCCTGCTTACCAGATTTTACTGCCTTGAACCATTGCAGCTGGTTCCCTGCCAAAATCTCCTGTCTTCTCTTAGAGAAGAAGCAAGGAGGCCTTCTCCTGAGAGGTCAGCCTCATCTTTCTTAAGAGTGTCAGTGACACCGAGATCTAAGGTTTCCTGAGGCAGCATTAGTGCCAATACTGTGTGTGGCCAGAAAGGGTCAATGAAAGGGCTGAGGAGGAGGAGGAACCATGCCCCTGCCAAGGGGCTGCAGACTGAGGACCCCAGGAGGGAGTGGGTGAAGGCTTCGTGCCTGAGGGGGGCAAGGGATGTGAGGGCATCTCTAGCCCCGTTCCTGGGGGAGAGGCAGGTAAGCAGCTGCCAATGAGGATGTCCAAACAATTCATGCTTTTTGTAATCTTCCTCTTGTATGTATCAGAGGGGAGAAGCAGCAGCCTTGATGTTCACCCCCTTGTCCTTCCTTCTGAGTGCAGTCCTGGACTCGGCATGTTCATGGCCATTGTGATGGAAAGGACAGCTGTCATCCCAGGCACAGATGCTATGCTGGGGTGTCCTGACTGGTCCAGAGGATGCCAAGAGCTGTGCATAGACCTGCCAGAGAATGTGGTCCTCCTTATCCCAGCGCAGGCAGACGGGCTCCGCTACATCCTTGCAGGGTGCACTGGGCTCTGTAATTCAGGGTGTGTGGTGAAAAGTCATGGTTAAATTGGGCTCATCTTTGTCTGGGTAGCACCTCAGGACTGGGGGTGGGTGGGCAGTGTCTCTCAGAGTGCAGGGGGCACCCTACTGCTGCAAACGGTCTCCTTGCGTGGAAAGAAGGTACCAGAAACCCTTATGATTCTGAGGGTGGTGGTATGGAAAACAGATTATGAGCATTTTATGTCCATGCATCTACCTCAGTGGATGTACTACCAATGTCTATATAGTAATTAAGTTGTAGCTGCTGGGATTTATGTAGTCACAACCATCCTGGCTCAAGCACTGGGTAGGGACGTGGCTCCCATCAGCAGCACCCATACAGCTCAAAAACCCAGAAAATACAAAGCTTTGGTTGAAGTTGCTGATTTCATTTTTCACTATTTGGAGGAAGAGGCTTTGGGTGATGCCCCCTGGGCCCTCGGCCATCTTTTTGTTCATGCCCACACCATTGACCAGCAGGAATTGGGGAGTGTAAGGAATAGCTGCAGTCTTGAGCATGGGCTTGTGCTTCTCAGAGCTCATAGGAGAGTGGTGAAGCCATGCCAGCTCACAGCAAAGGTTCCTACCAGTGTTCCTCCATGGAACAGCTTTCTGCCCTCTCCTTCTTATCTCACATGGTCCTGCTAATCTTAAGCCCAAAACTTCTAGCTGACTCCACAATGTCAGCAAAGACTCCCAGGGAAACACTGCATTTTATTTCTTAGAGGAGAGAGGAGCTCCAGAGGCTCTCAGGATGTCCTCCCTGCTGCAGCTACAGGAGTAAGCCTACTCCCTCCCAAAAAGTACCTGCTGTTGAATGTTACCGGAGCTTGGAATTGGGAGGTGGGTCAGGCAGCACGATGGAGTCACTGCGATTCTGTGTGAGTGGGACTGAGTGATGTTGCAGTGTGAAAGGGGATAAACCATAAGGATGGTGGCATGGGCTAACTGCATGGGATGGGTGAAAGTACAGCCTGGCGCTTCCAAGTAGAACCTCCAGCCAAGAAAGGAAAGGCTTCTTGGAGCAGCTTTGAGGCCTGTGCATCCCAGGGATCATTTGATCCACGGAAGAAGGACAGCTAATATGAAGCCCCCACACATGAGGACCCTGAGCCCCAACTGCTTCAACCTACTGAACTGCTCCTGTTGCGCCAGAGGAGGTATTGATGGAGAGACAGCCCATTGCTCTCTGGAAATGAGTTCCTTCATGACATTTCCTACATGGGTTTATGCACTGTCATCTCTGCTGATGGCCATCACTGTTTGCCCTTTTGGGGTGCTCTCAGCAGCAGGTGAGGCAAGTTTTTGGTGGGGGGAGGGGAAGTGGTTGTTTAATACCACTGTTTTCACAGCTCGGTGCCGAGCAATCATCTGCCCGGGAGGTACTTGTTTCAAGGGCATGTTGAATGTACTGCCATAGCTCTTTTGTAAAGAAATGTATAAAAATAACCTGTGTTGGCACTGTGTGCAAGGCCAAACACAAGTGATGGTGACAACGGGAGCAGATGACAATAGCATGAACCTCTGGAAACCAAAAGCTTTCAGTGATACAAGAGAAATCTTGTTTACAAAAAGAAAAGGGCTCACTGGCATGATGGGAAGTGAAGTAGAAATTTTAGAGGCAATCAGGTTTTTTGAGGTTAAACGTGGCCTTGATGGTACCGGAGGGGTTCTTAGGCGTTAGGGTAATAATCAACAGCACTTCTTCCACCATGCTTTTCTGCAGTCACTGCTTTAACTGATGTTAATTCGCATGGCCGTAACTACTGTGAAGTGTGTGTAACCCGTCAACAAAGAGCAGTGTGGAGTCGTCATCAGGTAGAACATTTCTGGGGCACGAGGGAAGAAGATATAAACAGGGCAGAACATTGCTCTGGGGAGGGGTGGCTGGTCCTCTGGCCACTGCGGGGTGCGGAGCCTGACCTGTGCCTCTGCTCCCCGCAGGAAATCTGCGCCCATGGGAAGCGGTTCCTCCCCATCCTTGTCCCCGCGGTGCTGAGGGTTCACTTTCCTCAGGAGCATCTTGGCTCTGGTGGAGCAGAGCTGGCAGTGTTATCTGGTGCCCTTGTTCTGAGTTTTCACATCACTGGAGGGACTGGGGCTGAGGATGTCTGAAGAAGATGGGGTACCTGGACTCTTGCATGGACGTAGGGAGAAAGTAGGAGGGAGGATTAGGAAAAACATGACCTGTTGTTATTGTGTACATCTTCTGAGAGCTGTATCCAAAGGGGAGAGGGAAGATGACCGAGAGCAGCACCACTTCTCAACCCTGCTACTCCCAGGGTTCAGCTCAGCTGCCTGCGTGTGGGCGTCCAGGGCCACCTGGGATGCCCTTGGGCATCAGCCCCACGGCTGGGGCCCAGCAGCTCCCACAGTGGCTCCATCCCTGGGTGGTACTGGACTGTGGGGCCACAAACCCATCCCGCTCCTTTTGAGTACCTACCCGCTAGCATCTTCCACGTTGTTACCTGCTGGCTCGTGTTATCTCCCTGATAATAATAAAAATAAAGCAGCCCCTGAATGGATTATTTATCTCGTAAATGCTTCCACAAAGCAGCGCGGTGCAGAAGCGTTTTTGCAGGAGTCAGACCAACGGTTTGCAGAGAGACTGAAGTGTCCACATGGCTGTTTGTGGGCAGGAGGGCTCATTGGAGGGCAGCCCGTGGTGGAGCACCTTTCTTTGCTGGAACTTTCTTCCACTTTGAAACCCCCCAGGGCCTGACCCAGACCTCCAGGCACCGTGGACCGCTCTGGTTTTGGGGCTGGCTGTTGCTTGATCCAGAAGGTGGGATTTCAGCGCCGGCTGTGGAGGGATGTGTCCAGCTGTGGGAAACAGAATAGTCTGAGATGAAAGGATAAATCATTTCCCTTCTTCCATAACTCAAGTCCCCCACTGCAGGGAAGAGACTGTTGCAGTAGTTGGGGCTGGTGTGGGGCGTGGAGGGCACCCCTCCCCCCAAAAAAAACCCCACAGAGAGACTGGACTGCTGTCTGCCTGTCCCCAAACCTGGGCTGGAAGTCACAGTCCCTGCCCGGGCTGTCCCCCACCCCTCTGGCACCTGTATCTACAGTGGGGAGGGTGTGGGGGGGGTCACCCCACGCCCCGGGGATGGAGACGGTGGGGAAGAGGAAGGGGCCAGGGCTACAACCAGGCTGGGCAGCGGCGGGGGGA